ACGCTGTACTGGTGTGGTAGTTACCCTGTTTGGCTGCCTATGGTTGACGCCACTTTATCACCACACCACAAACTGTGATCCTCAAGGTTACCTTTGCAGATGACCCTGGTCTCACTCTGAAGTGACATCGGTTCCACGTTAAGCTGTTCTGTTTGTTTGCTGTTGGGCTCCTCTCGCGCTAGCTTGCCCCCCTAGGTTCCATGGCCTCCGCGGGGGTACTCTGGCACCAGACCAAGCCGTGGACTCAAGCTCTCCCCAAAATGGTTATTTCGTATCTTGTTTTCTCCTGTTATTTACCTGCATATACTGCAATGAATGCTGTTATACCACCGTAAAGGCCTCTGGGACAAATGGATACATGCACCTAGGTTCTATGTTTTATACATTTAGCAGGTTTATCTCCCGTTCTGGTACCCCAACATGCACCCCACTTTTCACTATCTTGGATTTGGCGCTTGCCCAGATCCCAGTTAAGTGAACAAAACACCACCTTGTTGGTTCAGAGACTGTTTTTGGCCCTTTGAGTGTCTTCCCTCTCTGGTTCTCTTGCTCTCTCCTACCCCTCCCTCCCCTCTTCTTGAACAACTACTCACCTCCTTCTTTCACTCCTTTTCACTCCTTCTCTCAAACCTTAAACTTGGACATCAACCCACATGGCCCTAAAAATAGGTTCCCTCAATGTTAAGGGATCAGTTCCCCGATTACGGTCTGGGAGGCACATAAACCCACTATTAGGGGCAAGCTGATTCAACTAGCCTCCCAAGCTAAAAAGAAAAGGACGGCCCGTATTGACCAACTCGAATCTGATCTCCAATCTGCTTCCCAAGCTTTCCAACAGACCCCCACTCCTGAGCACAGAACCCAATCGTTTAACATTTAGTCTGAGCTGAACCTTTGTCTTACACATCTTGCGCATGACCGTTTGGCCTGGACCAAGCATAGATTCTACTTCAAGGGGGACAAACCAGACACCATGTTAGTGCACAGGCTCAGAGACACCAATACTAAACGTGACCCCATACGACTGAAAATTCAGCGAGGATATGTGACAGCCCACCCAGTTAAAATTCTGGACACTTTTCAGAACGAATCTGAGCGGACTGTCGTACCACTAGTCCACTGGAGGTCTCCAGTATGGAAGCCTTTTTTCCTCCCTCGATCTTCCCTCCCTATCCGACGAAGACCGGCACCTGATCGATGCTCCCATCACATCAGAGCAAGTTTTGAATACTATTAAGTTGCTTACTACTGGGAAGAGGCCTGGCCCTGATGGCTTTGGTGCCACCTATTAAGAAATTTGCAGATATTCTTGCTCCACACTTAACTACATATTTTAACGCTTTGCGGGAGGGAGGGCGGCTGGGTGGGGAATCATTGATGTCTTCCATCTGTATCATTCCTAAGCCTGAGACCGATCACACCTCATGGTCTAATTACCGTCCGATCTCTTTGATCAATGTTGACCTTAAATTGCTCACCAGAATTCTGACACTGAGACTCCAATCCCCAATTTTGAAAATGATTTCCAAAGACCTAGTAGGGTTTATGTTGGGAAAACAGGCGGGAGATAGTGTACGCAGAATATCCCACTTGCTACATATCTCACACCAAAGAAAGTCTATGCTACTAGCACTCGACATAAGTAAAGCCTTTGACTCGGTCGGCTGGGATTACTTGCGCTACACCCTGACTAAATGGGGGTTTGGGCCCTCGTTTATGCGCTTAATTGACTCCATATATTCCGAGCCCACGGCATATGTCAAAAACCAGGGCTTCCACTCTCAAAAGGTTTGACATAACTAGGAGGGACCAGACAAGGCTGATCACTCTCCCCCCTTCTATTCGCACTAGCCATAGAGCCCCTTGCCCAAGCAATACGACAACGTGTGGGCATTAAGGGTATAGAAGTAGCAGGCTACCACCACAAACTTAGTCTGTTTGCAGGCAACGCACTTCTGATCCTTACTGATCCGTTGATCTCCCTCCCTAACCTCCACTACAACAATTTGGTACCCTTTCCGGCCTCTTCATCAATTTGCAAAAATACGAAGCACTTAATGTATCCCTCCCCCCTCCCTATGTTCCTTGCTGCAACAATCATTCCCCTACATGTGGGTAGCCACTGCCCTGCCACACTTGGGGATACACCTCACCCCCCCTATGACCAATTGTATAATGCAAAATTACCCGAAATTATTTTCCCATATGGAATCCCTACTGTTCTCTTGGGAGAAACATCCCCTATCATGGCTCGGGAGGGTTACGGCCATTCAAATGACCTTACTTCCTAAATTTTTATACCACGCAAGGGTCCTTCCCGTCTGGGTCCCCAACTTTCTGCTCCGGCTATTCTAACGCCGCATCCTATCCTATCATTTGGAAGGGTTCTTTTCCGAGAGTGTCGCATATAGTCCTCTACCAGAACAAACTAGAAGGGGGTTTGGGACTTCCCTTTTTCCAGAAATACTATCGGGCGGCTTAGTTGGCTCCTCTGGTTCTATGGTTTGGGAAATCGTGGGAACCTCGCTAACCCTGTTCTTCAACATACCCTGAGAATCTGGGATGGCCTTCGTCACTCTATGGGCTGGATGTCCCCCCACTCTCCCCTGATGTCCATACATGGCAATCTGTTCCGACCGAGATACTCCAACCCCACCGCCTTTAAATCGTGGCTCTCTAGCTCCCTGAGCTTGATTAAAGACTTCTGCTCTGAAACAGGTATTGTATTGTTCTCAGCGCTCCAAACTTAAACAAACACGATCTAACCACTAGGCATGTCTTCCAATTCCTACAGATAAAACCATTTCTTGCTGACCCGATTAGGACCCATACGCCCTATCCCCCCGCTCACCCCCTTTGAGAGACAATTACATTACGGGATACGAGGTTCGGGGATCATATCAACCCTCTACAGCCTTTTGTTGGATAAACTACACACCTCTCCTCCTCCCTACGCCTCCAGGTGGGAACAAGACTTAGGATGCTCCATTACCCCTGACACCTGGACCCAGATATGGGCGACAATTTCCTGAAGCTCAACGAATGTCCAAGCAATAGAAGCCAACTACAAATTGCTCCTTAGGTGGTACTTGGTCCCACTCCGGATCTCCAAAGCTATCCCATCACACTTCCCAAACTGTTTTAGGGGTTGTCGGGTGGAGGGCTCGGTCCTTCACATATGGTGGTCCTGCCCCAAGGTAAAGAGATTCTGGCATAGAGTCTACCAATTGTTATATACTGTTACCGGCAAGACTTTTCGAAAAGACCCGTTGGAAGCCCTGCTACATAAAAAGCCGTTGGTGTGCACGGTACGTCAGTACCGATTGCTCACCTTCATTCTCACAGAGGCCAAAAGGGTAATTGCGTGGGCTTGGAAGTCCCCTGACCTTCCCTTTGCTGAAGTCAAATGCAGAGTAACGCGTGTGATGTTTTTTGAGAAGCTCACTGCTATCCAAAGGGATGCCTTGGTGCCGTTCAGGAAGCTGTGGGAACCATGGATTGAGCCGTACCTTCCTCCCTCTTTCAATGTTGATTCCTTGACCATATGAGGACCCGAAGCCAGGGTTGATGACCAGCTATCGCCACTCCTAGAGGCTTTGCTCTCTTACCCATTCCCCCCCTTTTACTCCACCCTCCTCGCTTTACCCTCTTTTCTTCCCACTGACTATTCCTTTCCCTCACTCCTTATAATGTCCCCCCCCCCCCCCAAAGAACCAGGTAACTCGGGCCCCCTCTCTGTAACCTTGACTCGAAGTCCAAGTTAATAGGTTGATGCAATGCACACTGGGAACCTGCAATTTCTTAGGATTTCTCCTAGATTACCTACATGTTTATAATTTTACTTTGTTCTGTATATTCCTTACACTGTACTTGGTAATCGCTATTTGATGTATGCGTAAATACATTTATCTATCTGATTGATTTTGAACGGGAAAAAAAAGGAGCTTGGTAATGGTGCACTAGATACATTCAAGAACAAAAACCGTAACCCTTGCAGTGCTGGGGCAGCCCAACTGCAGGGGTAAGTACTTGTCTCGGTGACTCAAATAAAACGGTATTACTCACCTTAACCTCGGTCCCGACAGCTCCCTCGGGCCAGTTGGCAGACCAGTCCCCGCAGCCTCTGCTTCCCTGAGCTCCGGGGGTCTAAGGACTGCTGGCATCATCACGTCTTAGGCAGGTCTATTGACCTGCAGTAGACACGAGGATGCGGAGGGACATTCCATAGTCAAAGTGAAGGGAGAGAGAGGTGTGCAGAGACCGCCGTTGGACTGAAGATCAAGTAAATAATACAGCTTTACTTGAACCCCGCATACAAAACAAGTACTTAATTCTTGCAGTAAAGGCGTAGGGCCACCGTAAGGGTACATTTTTTTCTTTAACGATAACGCTTTATATGTACAGGTCATACACAGAGGGAGGAGGTAGTGAAGCGATTAATGAACAGATGTCGATAAGGGAGGTGAGGGCTTAATACACAGGTCAGATTAAACACAAGATGGAGCCGACATACAGTGCATTGTAAGATTAAATGACAGTAAATGGGTGGATAACACTGTTTCTAGTACAAGTTTACACCGGTGCTGGCTGGGATCAGCAAGTTTTCTTTCCGCTTATACAACAATCAGGCTCTACATCACTACAGGAGACGGTTGTGACATGGAGGTCAGCAAGAGGAACCAGTGAAAGCTGCCCGGAGATCTAGGAGATTGACACTGCTGAAAGTTTGGGTTTCTCTACAGACCATTCCTACTACAGAGCAGTGTATAGAAGTGCAGGTAACAGGATAGGCAAGTATATACAGTCTTCATTTACAGATATAGCTTAGCTGAGCACATTTAGTATTGCAACAGGGTTACTTTAACTGCAGTAGTCTGCTGGCAAGTAAAACAACTCCCATTAATGGAATTTAAAAAAAGTGGATTTAACCATTTTCCCTTTCTTCATCTGTAAAAGAAGAAAATAAAATGCAACACAAAATAAAATACACGCAGCCTTACCTCACAGGTGTTGTGAATAACAATGGTATTGGTTCCCCCCATCATTATTTCTGATGTGTACTCGTCCATTGCTCTTTTGCTGTCGCCCAAATATGGGACATATTTAATAACCACCTGAAAATTTATAAAAACAGGTATAGTACCAAGTTATAGTAAGCGAAAAATATATAAGAAAAGAAGAAGAAAAAAAAAGTAATAAATACAAAATACAAGTATGTTTGTGAAGGTTCTCTATCCAGGCCATGGTATAGCCAGTAGCAATTTGTTCTGTGATGTTTCTCCAAACCACTTAGGTAGCAAAGACACCTAACTCCAAGGCACGCAGGCACTAATGTGCTACACGTTCCCGTGCGGCTGATCGCATTCCGGCCGGAGGACGTGGCTGCGGTGCCATGGAGTTCAATGCACCGCCACGCCCCCTCCCGCACCAAAACAAAGTGAGGCGGCCAGAATGCGATCTGAGGATGCTGTGAACTAGCACTAAAGCCAAAAGAAGACAGACACAGACAGTAGTGCTTTGAAAGTTTGTAGCTACTCAGAATGATCCTGTGGATGTTTTAATGAAAGTCCAAACAAAAAACACAGGACCACTGTAACAGAGGTAGAAGCAGAAAACATGGATTAATATGTACCATATATACTCGAGTATGAGCCGTCCCGAATATAAGCCGAGGTACCTAATTTTACCACAAAAAAAATGGGAAAAAGTATTGACTCGAATATAAGCCGAGGGTGGGAAATGAGGCAGCTAATGGTAGATAGATACCAATAAAATTACATTCATATTTATTTAAAAGAAAAATAACCTAGCTCTGTAAGTGGAAAAGGAGGTACAGGGCTACATATCATGTACTACGGATCATTTAACCGGTAATTACATTTTCCCATATTACTTGGGAGAGTGAACTTGCCCTTTAATGTACATTGCGCGTGTTAGAGAGCACAGCAACACACACACACTTTAATTTTTTTTTAATCTTTATACTTAACTTTATTGCTATCACATAGAGACTAACAATCCCCTATGTGATAGCATTTGGACAGAATTGTGCTCAATCTCTTGTGCAGCCCGGCGTCCGACAGCTGAGGCAGGAAGTGCTGCGAGTACAGTGCTCCTGCCCCACTGATCACACAGAGCATACATTCTCCGGTCTGCTATCCGCTCTCTATCCTGAAGTAATTTGCCGTGATCCCGGGTCCCCCAGAAGAGCGGGGGACTTTAAAAACCACAGCGGGGATGGGGAAAGGGCAGACAAGCAGGCTGCTGTACAGCCACCTAGATCCCTTGTCCAAAAATGAGCGGTGGCCCTCTGCTCTTGGGATCGTGTTCAGATATGGCTTATTCTTTCAGGATAGAGCTTTAACTTGCATTTTTAGATGGCACAGCAAACTGTGTTCACATTAATCCTCCTGTCCCATCGCACTCCTGACCGGGCAAAAACCCAAATCCAACTGGGTGGGTGCGGTGGTGACAACGGATGCCTCCGTGAAATGTAGATCGATGAAAGTAGTCACTCGCACTCCATGATATTAAAGTCAATGCTGTTTATTGACTGAGATAACACACATCTCCTTAGCTAATGCTAATGCTAAGGAGATGTGTGTTATCTCAGTCAATAAACAGCATTGACTTTAATATCATGGAGTGCGAGTGACTACTTTCATCTAAACTGTGTTCACAGACAGACAATTGATTTTTGGATGTTTTCCTGAGCCCATGCAGTGATGTCAATCACACAGACGTCAATCACACAGAAGATAACGAGCATCCATGAGTTTCGGCCTTGTCCCTTATAGTCGATGTGCCACCGCACTCCAGACCGGAATCCCAATATAATAAGATGGGTATGACCTGCGGATGGCGCTACGTCAATCCAAATGTATAAACAGTCACCCACACATGAATGCCCAACATGTTCAATGCCTTTATTCAGACGCTAAACCTACATGGTAGCACTAGTGGACAGCCACACCGGAACCATTTGAGGTCCCTTGATCAGGCAAACATAGTGACCATAATAAGGTAAAGGGCAGTGCCTGCCAGTAAAAACTGGTTGTTCAGCATTCCAACTGATCAGTAGAATCCTTAAAAGGTAAGTATGACCTCTACATGCCTGGTGGATTTCCTGTTAAGGTGGGTCACTGACTAATCCACAGTGGGTATAGACCAGTGGTTCTCAACCTGTGTAACCTGAGGACCCACATTTGTCCTTGGTCATTAAGTCGCGACCCAAGTCGCACCGCATTAGAAACATCATTAAACAAATTCCCTTTAAAAGGGAAACCATATCAAAAACTGATCACATGGTGCCTAGGACCCTTCAGGGTGCTTCCAGGTCATGTAGAGAAAAACATTGAAAACCATAAGTGGTGCAAGACCCAAAGCCAGAGACAGCAAGGATGATCCCTCAGATAAAGACTTTTCTGAGCAGGGTAGAGGAGGGCTATCCTGGGCTGGTCTGCAGATTTTTTGTTTGCTAGTGCCCAAGTCTCATGTAGGCTGGAGCAGAACTCAACACTATATGACCTCCTGTGTACCTCAACAGAATTGAAAGATTTAATATAATAACAAATGTCTATTTTTCTTGATCACCATCTACCTCTCTGTCCATCTGGGAACATGCATAATTTGCTTTAAATACAGTTTAAAAAAGTCATGAGGAAGACTCCTTCAGGACTACAACTATACTTACACAGTGGTCAGGTTTCTCATTCGGTCCATAAAGAATAGGGTTAGATTGAACCATGTCATCCACCACGTTGCTCTTGGAGATCTCCTTGGAACGAAATTGCTGAGGAGCCGATAGGTTCTTCCCATCATTATTACCGAGGTGATTATAGCTCACTATGGAAACTGTCTGGGAATGAAAGAAGAGGTGAAATTCAGTTACTGAGTAACTATTATTATTATATCTGAATAAACTTACATTCAGACTCCACTGTCATTATAAAAGAGAAGACAAGTGATTTGTTTTAATACTGCATGAAAAAAAATTCACAATTTCAAATGTGTGAAATACCCATGTAACACTTCACTTAACTATACATTATTTTTTTTTTACAGATTTATGTGAAGGAATACAACAAAAAAGGTCAGAATTAATGCATTTACACAGAACAAGCCAATAGAAAATGGAACATTGGTAATTTAGGAGTACCTTTAAGCCAGCGCCGACAAGAAAATCCACCAAGACCGACTTAATCTTAGTCTGTCCGGACTTAAAGTCATCCCCTCCAATGAACACAGAATGTCTGGTTGCCAACTCAATAGCTCCGGGAACAAAGGTATTCTGGGGGGACCCATTGATGTAAGCACAGTCCTCCAAGATGCTGTCCACTGCAAACAT